CATCCAGACACACACACACAAACACACGCCATGCACACACATATACACACACATGCATATACTACACACATACACAAACACACACATATCACACAAAACACACCACAGCACACATACATACACATCACATACCCCACACACATCCAGACACACACATACACATACCACACACACACACAAACACACACCATGCACACACAAATTAAGGCTTTAAAAAAAAAAAAAGGAATTCTTCCTAAAATTGTTGTGCTAGACATATAGGGGAGTGGCCAGAGGTCATGAGATACAGTGTGGTACCCCGTAGTTGCTCAATAAACAGCGAGTTGTGAACTATAAATGAATAAACAGTGACTCTCCATCCTTTAGGCAGACACGCCGGGGATGCTCCGCCCACTCCAGGACCTAATGGAGCCAGCAGGGTTCTTCTCTCCCTCTTCCTCTCCTTCTTCTTCTCCCCCAACCCCGGTTTTTTGAGACAGGGTTTCTCTGTGTAGCCTTGGCTACCCTGGACTCACTCTGTAGACCAGGCTGGCCTCGAACTCACAGAGATCTGCCTGCCTCTGCCTCCCAAGTGCTGGGATCACAGGCGTGCAACATCACTCTGGGAAGCTCTCTCTTCCTTTTGTCTTTTATTTATTTATTTTTTTTTCACGTTTAAAATGCTTTCTCTGGTAACTGTTTCCAAGATCTGTAAGAAATACAGACCACATTACACTGAATTAAGGTACAGTATTGGTCAGGCGGGGGGGGGGGGGGCTAACATCTGTACATCCAGCTTTTGGAAGGCTGAGGCAGGAGGATTGCTATGAGTTCAAGGTCAGCCCAGGACTCAGAGTGAGACTGTGTCTCAAGTTAAATAAATAGCAGGCAGCATACACAATTATAATACCAGGCGGAGGCAAGCAGATCACTGTAAGTTCGGGGCCAGCCTGGTCTACAAAGTGAGTTCAGGACAGCCAAGGCTACACAGAGAAACCATGTCTTGAAAAAATTCAAAATAAATAAATAAATGAGAGTGAGACAGAGAGAGCACAGTAGGATTATAGCCAGTTCAATTCCAGCCTAGGTTACATAATGAATCTCAGGCAAGCCAGTGAAATTCTAAAATTTCAAATAAACAAATGAAAGAAAGAATGAATGGAAAAATGAACTGAGGGAGGGCTGGTGTGCTTTTCTAACATGCATAATGGCCTGGGTTCAATCCCTAGTACCACAAACAAGAATGTGTATTGAGGCTGGAGGCAGAGCTGAGAGACGGTATCCTCCGGTTCAGAAAGCACCTTAGGGGGACAAAACAAAACAAACAAACAAACAAACGAAAGGCAAAACAAGCTTTAAAAAAATATTCATTAGCCCGGGAAGTGTGGCACACACCTTTAATCCCAGCACTTGGGAGTCAGAGGCAGGCAGATGTCCGTGAGTTCGAGGCCAGCCTGGTCTACAAAGGACAGCCGAGGCTACAAAGAGAAAAGCTTGTCTGGAAAAACAAAAATGAGAAAAGAAAAAAATAGTCATTACCTGAAATAGATATATGTGGGTAAAAACAGTAATACTCCCTATGCAGTGGCCAGTGGGTGATTGCCATTTAGTAGGCTCAGAGGTGTCACCACATGAGAAAGACGTGAAACCAGGGGGGCAGAGGTTTATGTTGCCTAGAATGTCCTTTAGCTCATTGCACAGCTGAGAATAACGGAACTTCTGGTCCTCCAGTCTCCACCTCCTAAGTCAGTGGTCCTCACCCTCCTAATGCTGTGACTTTAACACAGTTCCTGGTGTATCGGTTAATATAGTGGTGGTGTCCCCAAACCATAAAGTGATTTTTGTTGCTACTTCACAGCTGTAGTTTTGCTGCTGTTATGAATTATAATGTAAATATCTGGTATGTGGCCCCACAGGTTGAGAACCACTGCGCTACCTGATGGGATTAAGGTGTGTGTCACTAGGCCAGTTTTAGAGAGGCGAGATTAAAGCAAAACGCTTTTACACCTAGAATAAAAAAGCCTTAAAAAATTTAGAGACTTTTTTTTTTTTTTTTAGATAATTTAAAGGTGAGCATTGTGGCTGGACACCTGTAATCCTACACTAAGAAACTAAGGCAAGAGGATACCGATGAGTTCAAGGCATACATGAGCTTCTGGTTATGCCCCTAGGCTGTTTACACAGGAGATAGCAGGCCACACGCCACACATAAGATGATATCTTCAAGCCTGGCAGCTGACCAGGGTAAACCCAGAACGTATGTGGCTACGGGAAATTCAGAGACTAGAGATGATGGATTGGCTACCGTGGTGGTTTGAATGAAGTGGCCCCCAAGACGTGTGGCCTTGTTGGAGTAGGTGTGGCTTTACTGGAGGAAGTGTGTCACTGGGGGTAGGCGTTGAGGTCTCCCATGCTCAAGCCAGGCCCGGTGTCTCACTCTCTCTTCCTGCTGCCTGTGGATTCAGATGCAGAATTCTCAATTATGTCTCTAGTCCCGTGTCTACCAGGCCTCCCTGTAAGCCAGCCCCAGTTAAATGCTTTCCTTTACAAGAGTTGTCGTGGGTGTGGTGTCTTGCCACATCAATAAAACCCTAACTAAGATGGATACAGAAAAGCTCTGCCAGCGAAGCAGGGTCCCTCGTCTTAGGTAAGGCTCCTAACAGCTCAGTTCTTACCAGATTTGCTGGGTGAGAGTTAAATAGCCACAGGTCATGACTACCATGTGCATTACATGATGGGCCCTCATTGTCCCTCACAAGCTGGGCCAGACTGACTTGGGGGGAGGGGAGGCACCTGGGCTGAATTTTGCCCCATAACCACATTCACACGTTAAATCCCAACCTCCAGTCTTGTAGAATGTGACTCTCCACAGACCTCAGGCCTGTATGGAGGCCACTAATTAAACCAGAATGAGGTCAGTAGTGTGGTACTCTAATCCACTAAATCTGTGTTCTTATCTTGTGACCACAGATCCCATGTGAAGTGGCGTGGCAGAGGCAAAAGGATTTGCTCTGAATTTGAGACCAGTGTGGCTACATAGTAGATCCTATCTTTCAAAAGAAAAGACACAGAGAGGGCTGTCATCCAGGACCAGGAGAAACCTCAGAAGCCAGATCTTGGACTTCTAGCCTTCTGAGAAGCAATCCCCCCATCCCTCCCTCCCTCTCTCTTTCTTCCTTCCTCTCTCTCCTGCCCTCATCTCCTTTTAAGAGAGGATCCAACCTGGGGCAGTTAATCACTGGAATTACCAGGAGCGCCTCTCCTCCGGGAAGGACTGCCTCTTTTCCTGGAATCTGCTCTATCTAAAGACAGGCTAGGGTAGGGGAGGGTTATTTATCCCCTTAATGAGATAAGGAACATTTCCTTTCTAGGGAGTAAGTCTCCTGCCTCGGGGCAGCTGCTTGCAGCCATTTGCCGAGTCCCACCCTGTGGTCATTGTAATTTTCCCTTCTTTCCCATTTCCTTTTCTCCCTGACACTGCTCTAAGTCTGCTGTGTGTTCCCAGACTCAAAGCTGGGCATACTGGTGCAGGACAGCAAGGGTTATAAGGGTTACACAGAGAAAATCTGTCTCAAAAACCCCGTTACAGCATTGAACATGGCTGTGTGCATATGTGTGTGTGTGTGTGTGTGTGAGAGAGAGAGAGACTCATTATGTAGCTCTGGCTGTAATGGTGCTCATTAGCTAGATCAGGCAGGCCTCAAATTCATGAAGATCCACCTGTCTCTGCCTCTGGGGTTAAGGCGTCTGCCACCATGCCCGGCAAGTGTGGCTTTCGTAGTGAGACTGGTGTCTATCATCTCGGTGATTTCTCTAACACTTTTCTCGAACACACACCCAGTTGTGTGACACTCACCTGGTTCACCGCCAGGAACTTCATATGGCCATCCAGCCAGCGGGAGTATTACAGGGTGAAAGAGGGGGAAACATGGCAGAAAACTTAAGGAGGTGGCACCCGCCTCTAATCCTATCGCTCAGGGGGCAGAGGAAGGAGTACTGCCAAGGGTCTGGGGCCAGTCTGGTCCACACTGCAAATCCCAGGCCCCCTAGGGTTAGACAGTGAAACCCTGCCTCAAGGGGGCAGGCAGGAGCCTGGGAGAGAATTGAGAAATGGCTCAGCCATTAAGAGCACTTGTTCTTGTGTCCACAGCCACCTCTAAGTCCAGTTCTAGAAGATCCAGTTTCCCCTCTGGCCTCTGTGGGCACTGCAGCACAGACACACTTGTAGGCCAAAAGCCTATACCCATGAAAAAAGTAAAATAATAATAAAATAAGAGTAGGGCTGTTGAGATAGCTCAGCAAGCAAAGGTGCTATATCTGTTGACTGAGTGAGTTTGGGGACCCCGGGGTAGGTGGCAAAAGAATCAACTCCTGCCTGTTGTCCTCTGACTGCCACAAGCACATCATGGAATGCACACACAAGCACAGGCACACACACACACACACACACACACACACACACACGAGCGCGAGCACAAAATAAAAATGTGTTGAAAATTAAAAATAAGATGGGAGTGGTGGCACACCCCTGTAATCCCAGCACTGGGGGAGGGAGAGGCAGGAGGATCTCTGTGAGTTCGAGGCCAGCCTGGTCTACAAATGACAGCCAGGGCTACACAGAGAAACCCTGTCTCTCGGAATTAATTAAAGAAAAGAAAAATTTGCCAGGCTGGTGGTGCACACCTTTAATCCTAGCACTCAGAAAGGCAGAGGCAGGCAGATCTCTGTGATTTTGAGGCTAGCCCAGACAGCCAAGGGTACACAGAGAAACACTGTTTGGGGAAAGGTGGGGGAGAGAGAAAAGAAAGAGGAAGGAACGAAAGAAAGAAAGAAGGAAGGAAGGAAAGAGAGAAAGAAAGAAAGAAAGAAAGGAAGGAAGGAAAGAAAGAAAGGAAAGAAAATATTCAAAATGAGCCTAGCTCAGCTTCTCAGAGAACATGAACACAACAAACTATCATGGCAGCCCCCTGGTCCAGCCAGCCTTTAGCA